GAAACTAATATATGAGATAGACTCATTACATGAAAAGCAAGATAGTTCAAGCTATGATTTGTCATAATAGTTTTAGATTATTATGGCTTACAGCTCATGAAAACCCCAAATCCACAATCTCAGAAAATTAGAATATTACATTCAATCAATAAAACAAGGATTGTACATAGAACAATATCGGACCTCTGAAAAGTATAAGCATGCATATGTACTCAGTACTTGGTTTGTGCCCCTTTTGCAGCATTTACTGCCTCAATGCGGCGTGGCATGGAAGCTATTAGCCTGTGCCATTGCTAAGGTGTTATGGAAGACCAGGATGCTTCAATAGCGGCCTTCAGCTCTTCTGTTTGGTCTCATGTCTCTCATCTTTCTCTTGGCAATGCTCCAGCGATTCTCTATGGGGTTCAGATCAGGCAATTTTGCTGGCCAATCAAGCACAGTAATCCTACGGTCATTGAACCAGGTTTGGGTGCTTTTGGCAGTGTGAGCAGGTACCAAGTCCTGCTGGAAAATGAAGTCAGCATCCCCATAAAGTTCGTCTGCGGAAGGAAGTATGAAGTGCTCCAAAATCTCCTGGTAGACAGCTGTGTTGACCCTGGACTTAATGAAGCACAGTGGACCAACACCAGCAGATGACATGGCTCCCCAAATCAATACAGACTGTGGAAACTTCACACTGGACTTCAAGCATCTTGCAGTGTGTGCTTCTCCATTCTTCCTCCAGACTCTGGGTCCTTAGTTTCCAAATGAGAAGCAAAAGTTGCTCTCATCAGAAAAGAGGACTTTGGACCACTGAGCAACAGACCAGTTTTGTTTTTCTTTAGCCCAGGTAAGACGCCTCTGACGTTGTTTGTTGTTCAGGAGCGCTTGACAAGAGGAATACGACATTTGAAGCCCATGTCCAGGATCCGTCTGTGTGTGGTGGCTCTTGATGCACTGACTCCAGCTTCAGTCCACTCCTTGTGAAAGTCCCCAACACTTTTGAATGGCCTTTTCCTGACAATCCTCTCCAGGCTGCAGTCATCCCTGCTGCTTGTGCACCTTTTTCTTCCACACTTTTCCCTTCCACATTACTTTCTATTGATGTGCTTTGATACAGCACTTTGGGAACATCCAATTCTTTTATTAAATTATGTCCTTTTTCCATAGGTTCCTCTAAGAAGAAAACCATGTCATCTGCAAACGCTTGTAATTTATATTCCTCTGCTTTGACCCTTACTCCTTTAATTTCAGGATTTTGTCTTATCTGCGTTAAAAGTGATTCTAAAGCAAATATAAATAGGAGGGGTGAGAGAGGGCAACCCTGTCTGACACCCTTTTCAATATTTATTGGACCTGTTTGTTCACCGTTGATTAGTATGTTAGCCTGTTGAGTGTTATAAATTGTTCTTATAATGTTCTCGAATTTAGTGCCAAGACTCATGTTTTAGATTTTTTGGATTAAAAAGTGCCAATGTAGGTTATCAAATGCTTTCTCGGCATCTAAAAACATAAGTGCAAATTGTTTATCTGGATGAGCTTCATAATATTCTAAAACATCAATAACAGTTCTTATATTATTTAAAAAATTATTTAAAATTTATTTAAAAATTAAAAATTAAAAATAATCCAACTTCTTTTACAATTACCTTTTGAGGCTTTCCCTCCTTATGGAAGGTGTCAATGATGGTTTTCTGCACAACTGTCAGGTCAGCAGACTTTCCCATGATTGGGATTCCTACTGAACCAGACTGAGAGACCATTTAAAGGCTCAGGAACCCTTTGCAGGTGTTATGGCTTAATTAGCTGATTAGAGTGGGACACTTTGAGCCTAGAATATTGAACCTTTTCACAATAATCTCATTTTCTGAGATTGTGGATTTGGGGTTTTCATGAGCTGTAAGCCATAATCATCTCAATTATGACACATCACAGCTTGAACTATCTTGCTTTGCATGTAATCAGTCTATATTAGGTTCACCTTTTAAGTTGCATTACTGAAATAAATGAACTTTTGCATGATAATCCAATTTTTCAAGTTTCACCTGTAGTAGCTCTGGGAAGGAAGACCAGAAAACAATGACAACGAATCATCCCCTTCATCCACACAGCAATTGAAAGACTATTTATCAAGGAGCATGAGTGGGCCTGGAATGTTGCAAGCACACCAGACAAAAGGGGCATTGAAAAACTATCTGAATAGTCTGAATGATAGTGAAGAAGATGCACGGATGTCATGAAGGTTGTATACTATGATACCAAACTGGCATATGAGAAAGAACAATGAAGAACAGAAAAGATTCATGGGAAAACAAACTATTACATGGTCAGTACATTTTTTAAAAATAGCAGGCAAAGCAGTAACATGACCCCGCAATGTCTAAGAGCAGGAAAATTTTAGAAAAGAGACAGATGGATCAGTGATGGGATTCAATTGTTTTTACTGCTGGTTTGGTGAGCGTGGCTTGGCGGGGGAAGGATAATGTAACATCTCCAGTCAGAGGTGGTATTTGCCAGTTCTCTGAACTACTCAAAATTTCCACTACCGGATCTCCAGAACTGGTCAGGACCTGCTGAATACCACCTCTGAAAGGGATTAATTCTGGCTTCACAAGACCAAACCTTAAAAACAGATGCATACAAAGCCAAACTGAGAATTTAGCACCAGCAAGTGCTACTTGTGAAAAGAAGCCAAAGAAATAGTCCACCACTTCGTTGTTGCAAGAGAACTGCCTAGATTGACTACAAACAACAATATGACAAAGTAGCAACAATGGGCCGTTGTAAGATCTGCAAGAAATACCATTTCCATGCAAGTAAGAAGTGGTGGGATCACAAAATAAAAAAAGGAAAAAGAAAATTAAGAGGCTAAATTGGTCTGACACTTTAGAATTCAAACAGAGAGGGACCTACCATATAAGAATGTCTTTGGTAAAAGGAAGCAAAAATAATACCAACAGTAATAAGCACCTTGGGTACAAGCCCAAAACAACTGGAGCACCACTTGAACACCATTGGAATTGACAAAATCACCATCAATTAATTGAAAAGGCAGCTTTACTCAGTACAACTTTTATCCTGTGATGTCAGACATCAAGATCTGCCTATCCCAGGTCCTTGGGAAAGACTCCATAGGTGGACAAAAATGCCAAATCCAGCCTAAACACCATTATGCAATGAAGTATAACAATTATTTCACACTTCGCTAGAATTTATGAGGAAGGCAAGGGAATGATTCACAAGATTAATTAATAATATTCTATCTATATCTTTGGTCGACATTTCATTTTTCCATCAAAGTGCATGAGCTAGCAATGTCAGATTGTGGGAAACCTGCATAGTCCCTTAAATTACAGAAGACTACACAAATCTTGTACATCTGAATTAGAAGAGATATTCCCTGTAGCATGCATCTTTTTTATCTGCAGCATGCATCTTTTTTATAAATATCCATCACATCTTCCATAAGTTTTATCTATAGAGATTCTAACTATATTTTACAGGATATTTAAAAATCAATTATTTTAATTGTCTTCTAATTACAGCAGTTTTTTAAAGAATCTTCCTCTTCCAGATGAGTTTTGATTTCTATCACTAATGTTACTGTAGGCGAGGCTTCTGAATGAAAATAAGTAATCATGCACAGGTATTTTTGTCTACATCCAGTTTAACTTTCTCATACTGGGTTCCCTGTAGAGCTTGCCAGAATATTTCTGTACAACTTTAATTGAATCATTCACCTCTGAGATTATCTACTAAAAAAATCTCAGAAAACATTACCAACTATGTTTCTGCTTACAACGCTATAAAAATAAGAAAAGGTCAAATGCTAATTTGACATTTTCAGATCAAGTTCAATCCTTTACTTTCAATAAAAGAAAAAAATCTGGTAACATTCACTGAGATAAACTAAGTCTGAATTTAGAATTTATTAAAAAAACTAATTTGTCTTCTCTAATTTCAGACAACTGCAACACATCTTGCTTTCTTAAATTGGTCACTTTAAATTTTGGAACTTTTTTTTTACTTTTAGTTGCGTCTTGGGACATATGTAACAAAAGAACAATAGTAATAGCACTTCAACTTATATAGTCTTTAAAGCACTCTGAGTTTACAAAGTCAACATCTCACCCCCAACAATCTGAGTTCTCATTTTACCAACCTCAGGATGGAAGGCTGAATCTTGAGCCAGACAGGTTCAAATTCCTGACTGTGGGCAGAATTAGTCTGCCATACTGCATTCTAACTATTGCACCACCATGGCTCTTAACAAGAATGTCAGATATTCCAGTTCTCTAGGCCATAAACCCTGATGGTTTCTATTTTAAAAATGTTCTTTAACTTTTGTTGAAGACATGTTGTAGGAGTACTGTACATTCCATAATAGATTTCAATAAATTAGAAAACAGCTCAAGTACCCCAAGCATCTGGCTCTTATTTAATCATCAAAGTATGCTTAAGTTGAAGGTATTGTCACTGCTACGAACCACAAGAAGATCAAATCCAATATGAGGTCAAGAAAAATTCTTGAAATCCAATGAATCAGTAGCACAGGAAGTGGTTACTAGATAGCAAACTCCTCCTTCCCTTCCCTTCCTCAATACTCTGTTTTCTCTGCCCATCTTTTAATCTCATATTACTGTTGTAAGGCATCCAGAAAGTATCCATTATATCAATCACTCCGAGACATATTCTCTCCAATTGATTTATTTAGGAATAGATCTGGTACATCTAAGGCAATTTCCCAAAGTGAAAGTATTTTCGCATGTTACACAGAATCCACTTTCTTTCCTCCCACTTCTACACTTCATAAATCACGAGAACCAATTAACTACAACTGGAATTTCTTAGTACGACATACATAATAACCTTGAACTTTTCAACTCCTCCCCCTTTCCATTAAATGTGGCAGCTGAATTTCAAAGCTGACAACTGTATTATCATAACGTCATTGTTTATTTTATAGTTTTATTAATTTTCTACTGTTTACACTTCATAGCCTCATGGTGAAATGGGCTGCAAATAAATTTAACAAATAAATAAAAAATAAAAATTACATATTAATGGATTTTTAAAGAACCAGTCTGACTTCTTATAATAACTTCCAATTAAGTATTTTATTCCTCCTTTTAAAGTAAAAATGTTCCAAAGCATTAAGTGCTGATCACCCTCAATATCAAAACCCAATATGTGCCCCAACAGGACTTCTCTTAGCATACTGTCCTGCAAAGAGAACACCTTTTCTACTATACGTTGATTCAAGAACTTTCCAAGACTTTAACAGAGATAAATACAGACTGTAAAACCAGTTGTATGTCTGTGAATACTGTATGATGAAAGAAAGTGGCTATATATATGAAGATTAGAGATGCAATAAAATTTTATCCCTTGACAGGAAATCAAGCCCTTTTGCTGAGTAGCTACTATTTCAATGAAATTAAGTAGAAGACTGTGTTGTAAAAGGAATACAGATATATTATTTCCTTCTGTTGTATCCTACTTTTTTTTAAAAAAAGACACACACAAACCAGTTATTGTTTTAGCCTTGTTGGTCTCAAGACAATAAAAACACAACTTAAATCATATAACAATAAATGAAGCCCGTAAAAATATTTTTGAAATTGAGTATTTGAAAATTAAATTAAAAATGGGATATTATGAGAAGCTTTAATTACATTTCTAAAGCCATTATTTCCAAGCCAGAAAATGCTAAAAACTATGTAATTAAATTTTAACCTTCATTGTAATCCTTTTTAACCCAACAAAACATAAAAATGTAAACACTTCTAATGACAGAACTAGGAGTTATAAATAAGCAATATTTAACATTTAAATGAAATAAAGAGTTTTTCAATCATGGCAGCCAATCTTTCAAAGAGCCAGATGCTGGATATGCAGGTATGATCCAGAATTTTCCTGGGAGGATTATGGAAATAGGCAAAATACCACAGTGACCAACAGATGTGAGATGTTGGATTAGTTGTTTCAGGAGGGGTCCTATTGTAGATATCATACTGCTGGTACCTTCGCCTCCAATTACTGTTAGCAAAGCCCTCTACAACCTAAGTATGGAATAACAAGTTCCATCCTTGTTATTTTTTGACATTTGATCAAAATAGAGCTGCTCTTGAAAACTGTTCCAGGCTGTTTACATATATTTCACAATGTAGAGTTAGGGTTAGCAAAGGGGAAATTCAGAACCCAGTCATAAAATCCTTCAAAAATAATTATGATTTGCTAGTCATCATTATCCTGTAAAACCGTGAAGTAGTCCAAGTGCTGGAATTTAAGGACTTCATTGCCCCAACTGGTCCATCCAGGTTGCAAATTCCGAGCAAACAGCTCCAAGCATTCTACATCTGGCTTGGTATATTCTTTCAAAATCTCTAGAAAGTGAAAAAAACAAACAGGGTGAGGATGATAAGGTGTTGGAAGTTGGAGAATAAAGACAGGGTAAATAACTTTACGGCAGGACTATCAAACTCAATTTCATTGAGGACAGCATCAGGGTTGTGTTTGAACTCAGGAGGGTGGGACACATGGTCAGAGTAGGTGTGGCCAGCTCAATATCACTCATGCTGGGGCGCCTATGGTGGCCCAAGTGCTCTGCCAGCAAAAATGGGCTCCTGAGCTCCATTTTTGGCTGTAACAGCCTCCTGCAACCCTCTGCCAGCAAAAACGGAGCTTAGGAGGACAGCCTGTGGCCCTTGCATTCTCTATTTTCGGCTGTGATGGCCTCCTGAAAACCACTGCCAGTGAAAATGGCGCTTCATTTTCGTGCCAGAGGAACTGTGGGCCAATTCTTTGCTGTTTCCAGGGCAGCCCCGTGGGCCACATCTAAGCACCTCCCAGGCCGAATCTGGCTCCTGGGCCTTGAGTTTGACACCACTGCTTTACAGAGTTTCTTATTAGCCAAATTGATTGCATATTCTCAGAAAGAAATATTTAGTTAGTTAGAAAATTTATATGACACAAATATGAAATACCCATCCTTGGAAAAATGAACAGTACTACCAAAACTTTAAATTACTCTCATTTACACACTGTATTACCATCATAAGGATCTAAAAGTTCACTTATGATGGTTGCAAATACAACTTTTGACTGACAGAGGTAAGTATCTTTAACCATTTCTTCCCTCGAATTTTGAATTTAGGATTCAAAAACTGAAAACAATACATGTAGGGTATAATTTGATTTCATTTACTGTAAACTTTCAGTAACTGCATTTTATATTTTAGTGATAGTCAATATCAGTATGACTTACTTCCTGTATAGCTTTCACTGGCTTCATATGGCATTTTGAAGAAACAGGCAAATCTAACCTTAAGCCAATTAAACTGTTGTAATTTCCTATTGATGATCTCTTAAGAGTGCAATTTGTTGAATATGCAGATTGTTAATTCCTTAAAATATCTTCTTTTTTAAAAGTTGAAGGTATGAGATAAATCAGTCATGTTCTGCTATGCTTCAATACCAACTAATCCTTTATACAGCAATTTGAACGTATAAAACCATATAATGTTCTAAGTACATCTTAATTATGTTCTCACCATAACCAAATGGCAACTATGTTTAAACTTGTATTTGGGCACCAGTTTCACAAACTCTGACCCAAAATATTTCAATAATTTTCACAGATCACAGCTACAGTAGCCAGCATGTAATTTGGGACACCAGTTCCAGGCTTTAAATCTTTACAGCCTTTAGGAGGCTGCAAAAAGTTAGGAATCACTACATTGTTTTGCATTTAAGGTCACCTTGATTTTTGCAATGTAAATCTGGTAGTTCCAAACTAATGGGAGAAAGTCTTTGTTGCTAAAGCTCAATAAACATTATATATCCTTATATTCATGAATTACTTAGGACTTTCATTTGATGCATAATTTTTCTTTTAACATTGTATCTATACATCACATTTCTCCAAATTGGTATTAGACTACACCTTCCATAATCATCAGCCACAATAGCCAATGACTAGAGAACTGTAAGTGCTGGACACATTTGGAAGGGCTGTCCAACAGGTAAATAAATGGCAACCTGTTGAATTGCAGTATATCGTGGAAGTATTAAAAAAAACCCTAACCTCTAGGGAGGGATATCATAGATGAGCTGCAAAAATACAGAACTAAATGGTAGAGAAGAGGTTGTAAAAATGAAATTCTCTTCTGTATGTATACAGAATTCTGTATATTATTATTATTATTGTTGTTGTTGTTATTTCTGTATTATTATTCCCAGAAACTCCAACCAGAAACGACATAATAATCACACAGTATTGTTATTATCAACTTATCTACTTAAAAATCTAGGAAAAACAGGAAATGGGAACAAATCTCGTATTCAATCCTGTGCTTGAAAGTGCACTTTTCACTGAAATATTTTACATAAAAGGCTTTACTTGGCATTAATTTTATCGTCACTCTGTCAATATATTTCTTGTCACAAAGTATTTCTATTAAATGTTGATTCTTCCATACCTTGCCTCTAGCAATCTCTGATTTTATATTAGAAATAGCATTTAAGTCTTCACTGTATGGTTGCTCTTCTGACACAAACTATGAAATGATTAATGCCTAAATTTTTCTTCTCACAGAAAATGCCACTATTGCTATTTTATCCTGTACTGAACATGTTTTAACCAGGAAAATTAGATTATTTAATAAAATGTAACATTTATATCATATTATTTCACTAACTGAAATAGACTATTATTCTCTGAATACAGAAGAACATGCCTGTGAACTGAGATAATAGTCCTTCTAGTCCATGGGCCATAATACTAGTCTCAGATTTGATATCCCAACTGTAGTTGTCACAATTTCAGGTCCTGATCTACTAAAATGTACCTAGAACCTAGAGATTATTATTATATAGGAAGCAGTTTGGTATAATGGTTAAGGTAATGGACTAAACACCAGATCACAAATTCCAATTGCCCCTTAGGAATGAAAACCAGCCAAGTGACTTTTGGGCCTCTCATTTTCTGAATCCAACCCATTTTGAAGAGTTAGCATGGAAAAATTATGAGGCAGGATCATTATGTATACTGCTTTGAGTTGTACAAAATAAAGAGAAGATGTAAACTAAACAATGTCATTTTACATATCCACTGACATTCTTGTAATTGTGGCAGGAATATATAAAATAAATAACGAATTTCTAAAATAATAGCATAGAATAAATAAATAGGTAGCACAGAATACAATAATGGTATAAAAATGTCAGGAGGTTTTCCATGGCTTTTACTGCTATTTTAAACACACTGGGAAACAAATTTAAGAATCAATATTTAAAATAACTTAGAGTAACTTTCGTTTTTATTTTTTAGCCAAGTTCCTTTCAGAATCCATTTGTACTTGATGAGTAATTCATATAAAGTTTGCTTGCATAATGGTTTAAAGGACACTTTGATCATGGCAATATTTTGGCAGTGATCCTGTGGGAAGTGTACATACATAAATATATGCAAATAATCCAGGAAAATCTCAAAATAATTGCTTCAAACTTTCAGGATGAATGATTCACACAGCTGTACTATGTAGCATGCATTGATACTAAAAATGCCAATTCGTGCCAGTAAGGGTTCTGAGGTCTTATACTTTTTCACTGATATTCTTTTCTCTCATTTTATATTAAAATAAATTCTCAAGAAATAGAAAATTACCTTGATTTTTATACTGCATTACATATTTTTTTCAATCCTCATTTTTAGGTGGAAAACATGCCAATGTATATTCTTTTTTTTTTGTATATAACAAAAGGTTTATATATTAACGAACACAATATGATGCAAGTTTTTAACAGTATAATGATAAAATAAGTGTCATCTTTTTTAACCACAGCAATAAAATAGGACTTATATTGGTCTATTCTCTCTTGACCTTTATGTGTTTACTCAATGAAAGGTGCTTGTGTCAGTTTTCAAGATCTGAATTAGATAGCTTTTGATTCAGTCTATGATAATTTGACTGAGTCCCAAACTTAATGTTATAATTGTGAATGGATGGGAGAATTGAGGCTTATAAACTGCAAAATAAGACAAAAATAAAATGTAGAAAATGCAGCTAGTCTATACCTGAAATTCATGCCACACAGAATTTGCACCATGAAGCATTTGATATAATTTATTAGTTTTGAAAGTATCATAAAACAAAACAGTTTCAAAATATTTAAAACAACAATTAAGGAAAAGAAATTTCATAGATTTTTTTCCTAACCTATGAATAAAAATAAACAATCAAAATACTTGAACACAGCTATTAGGAATAGACTGCTATGCTATGTTATATTTCTTTTTCCAGGAACAATTAAAAAAACAAATACAAACTTCCGTAATGTAAATTAAATTTTATTTGCCATATTTAATGATGTGAGCATTAAACGAAGTATTATTAGAAACTTCTAGTGTCATAATTTCACAGTTAAATTCAAATCACAAAACAAAATATAATTTTAATTATTTATGCAAAGTTCTCTTTTTGTCTGAACAAAAGATGACAAAGAGGTTTTTATTGAAATAAAATACTGCGGTAAACTAACATTGTTAATTGCACTGGTTTCTTTTTAAAATAAAAAATTGTGTATGGATAATCTATAAGTTTTCTTTTATTTCAACTTTTTCTTTTATGTTCAGGCTATAAACTTTGGAAAAAAAATCCCTCTACTGGCAATTCTAGTTAATAGTTTTTCACCACTGTAAAACATTTTATCTTATAGTCACAAGATTTGAATATCTTCCCATACACTGAAGCCCTAAATTGGCAGTTTAGTTATCTGCAGTTTTATGTTGTTCTGCATAATCATTCACTATTTTTACTACTCTAGAAATTAGCTACATGTATGTGCAAAATGAAATATGAACCAATACGCAAATAAAATAAAGTATTGTTTTATCTGATGAAGCAATTAGCTAGCAAAGAACAGTCACAAACTTTTCTATATGTATTAAAAAAAAAAACCACGCACACACACACACGAACATAAACTACAAGTAGTCCTCACTTAGTAATCATTTGTTTAGCATCCATTTGAAATTACTGCAGTGCTGAACAAATGGCTTTACAACCTATCCCTGAAATTATAGCCACTGCAGTTCCTCCATGGTCACATGATCAAAATTAGGTTCCATGACTTTGGTCGCAACCTGATTTGTTTGTGACCGGAAGTGAGACTGACTTCACGTGCACGTAAAAAAAAAAATGCCATAGAAGGGGAAATCACCATGGAAGGGGAAATAGCCGTGGCTGTGTTTGATCGCCATCCGAGTATTTGTTTGCGACCAGATGCAAAAATTTCGCCAAAGTTTTGGTTGTCACCCAATTTGGCCATGGTTAGAAGCGTTCATGACCAGAGGTTCTACATTCCATAGCCAGTGCACGATAGCATACCTTTGCCATTTTTCTGCTTCTACTGCTTACCAAGTGCGCCCGGACCAGCCCTTCATGATGCAACTGCTGGCAGAAAAGGCTTTTTTTTTCCAGGTCGTACCTGGTGGTTTCCTCACAAGACCTGAGGAAGATGGCCTCAAAGAGCCAGCAGTAGTGCTGCAAAGGGCCAGGCAGTCACACATTGTTAGCAGAAGGAGCAAAAAGATTGTGAAGATCAGCTGGGGTGGTGGAGCCCATAGCAGGAGCCTCAGAGTGCAGAGTGGCAAGGCAACTGCAGCTGGGATTGGGTGGGCTGGCTGGGGCTTTGGGCACATGCTGGGACAGGCAGCTATGGCTTCACACCATTCCGCACTGCTGAGCCAGGCTGGGGCTGCTGAGAGGGGCACACCAAGAAGCTCTTGAGATGCAGTGTGGAAAGTAGCCCAGAGCCCACAAGGCAGGGTGCAGCACAGCCAAAAGGACATAATTGGGAAGGAATAGACATTTGCGTGAGTTGAAGGGGAGTTACCCTCTACCTTGGAAGAATCACCCTGAATTGCTTGAATTGGGGTGGGTCTTTGGTATTGACTACTGGAATTTGGTTAACACAGCAATGGGAAGTGTGGGATTGTTGTCATTAAGCAATGTGTGAGGTGTCATTGTGCATTACTTACTGGTGGACATTAGCAGTCCCAACTGCTAACTTGCCTTCCACTTCTTGCATTATGAAAATACAATTCTTTTCAACCACTACAGATAAAAAACTGTTGATTTCAGGCACTAGAGACACAGATTCTATCATCTCTTAATTATTCACTTGACACAAAGTAATGAGGAAAATCTGAATAATTTGCCTATTGCAGCAGTAAATATTGCCTTCTGTCTTTAAACAGTGCCATACCCAAAGAATATGGTAAGCTTCTGCTATAATTGAAGAAAATGAATCTGTGAAAAGCTCCAAAATAGATATGGTTATACATATTTAATATTTATGTTAATATTTATGGCAAGAAAAGAGAGAAGGATGTTGTGATATGGTTTTATTATCATCCATTGGTTAAACTTCCAGTATACAATTGCCTTATTCCCACAATGATTCTGTACTTATTTACCTAAAAATCCAATGTTATGCGGAAAAAAAAGAGAATAAGTATTCCCGTTAAGTTGATCATTACATTTATACATATAAAGTGGTTTTCATATAAAACCACTGATCAGTAAACTTGGTTGTACATGACTTAATCATTTTGGTGTATATTTACCATATATTTCAATAAATGTCATCAGGATGACTCAATTAGTTGCCACATATAGAGTAAAAGGGGTGGAACAAAAAAAAATTCTGTCATTACTTTGTTTTACTTCCCCATATTTTGCTAGCAAGGTATCTAGGCTATATCTGCAAACAGAACAATTAGCTCAAAATCTATTCCCAGGAAATGCTCTGAATAAAATTTGCTATGCTATAATCTTTTAAAGATTAGCTTACTTTTAACAGTTGCAATGACTGTTAAGCCTAAGGTAGTAAAATTATATATTGGCATGTCCGATTAAAACTGAACCACCTGGTAGGCAAACTGACATTCAAAATTAAGCTCCTAATGAAAATTCACAAGCTCTCATAATTTTCTGAAAATTCTCCATGTCATATTAATGATGGTCCAGAACCACCAGTGCGAATGAGTAACAACACTATGCAATTAACCAGCCAGACAAATTGAAAACATAAAGCCTTACAAATATAAAAGAAATATTTCTAGAACTTACCTGTAAGAGGAGGCTTATGTGAATGAAAAGTACAAGGTACACTGACAATTAATTTCTGATCAGGAATTGCAGAACACTTTTCATCTTCTGAAAGCCTGTTTTATATATAAAAAAGGAAGACAATATAAAAAGAAAACCTTGAGTGATTTATACAGACGCAGTATCTGGGAAAGATTTGTACATTCATTGGTATTTCTCTTCCTAAACAAAATAATTAGAATGATTTAAAAAGCAAAACAAAAAGCCAAAGGCCACTCTCATACTGGAAGCCATAATGAAGCTAATACATAATTGTTGAGAATATTTCTTTTTATGAAAGATAAAGGGAAGCTTATGAAATTTCTTAAGTTTTTGTAAAACAAAAGTAAAACTACAGGAAGAAGACAAACAGCACACAGCCAATACATATTTCAAACATAAATATTGCCTGGCTATATAAAAATGTGTAATTCCAGGGCACAAATGATTCATTTGGTGGCAGCAACCAATAATACCCTTTCAAGGCATACGTAAGACTTAACTGCAGCTTTACCCTAAGTAAATGAAGGAGGCATAGAGGAAACCTAGCTTATAGAATGTCAACCAACTTGTTATTTTTTTTGCTGCAACAGGATTTGCACTAACTTACCCACACTTAGCTGTCAATTCCCAACTCTTCAAAAGACAAAACTCTGATGGATAATAAAGAAGGTGTGATTTGTAGCTATGGATATCAGCATCTTTTCCTGTCCTCACTTAACCTACGCTAACAAGAAAACTAAATGGATCTTCAGAAGCAGGTGGCATTATCTCTTCAGAGAAAGAAGCAGTAGTCTACTAGTTCTGTTCACAACCTGGATGGATTTCAATCCCTATAATTGGTTGATTATTATGGGAAGAGAAGCCTAACACACCAAGGGGTACCCACTTGATGAACACCACGCTGTAAGTGAGAGGATTTCAAACTTTTTCAAGTCATGAAATCTGTGGGTTAAAAACAAAACAAAACCTGAACCCCTGAATCAAAAGGAAAAGTTCTTTGCAACAGAAAATTGATTGTGTTTGAGGGAACTTTTTTCTTTGTCCTCAGTCTCCCATGAACCTCCATAACCTTCCTGTGGAGCCTCCCTGCAAATGCCTCTACAATTATATCCTATCCCCCCCACCACCATTTAGTAATAATTGGATATTCACTGAATGCACTTTAAAGCATTTATTGAAAAAAAAAAGTTTTGCAACATCATGGGAAAGAAGCAAATAATCAGATATCTGATTGCAACTCGCTTAAAACAGGCATTCCTCAGTCTTGTATTAAGAAACCGCACTCATCCCTTTAAACTTGTTTGCAAAACTCAACTAAGCATTGCTAACTCAATGCTTACACAATAATACTGCATATAAATAATATTACAAAATCAATGTCCATACCTTAGTGGTACATCTGTATTTCTCTGGACTCTACCTAGTACAAGAATTTCATATGGCTTTTTGTGAAGAGAATCTAATGGAATCACAAATTCTCCAGACTTTGTAATCTGAAACAGAGAAAATTGAAAAAATGTAGCAAGCGTAAGCAAACAGCACAAGAAATTTTATGTGTGTTTAACACATATTTGCTTTTAATCAGAAAACAGTGGTTGTTGATATATATATATATTTATTTACACACACACACACACACACACACACACACACACTCTTACTTCTGACATGACTACAAATAAAAAATACAAACGAATGCATACATTTCTCCATCTTAGGATTCAAGAGCTGCCCAAATCTGGTCAAACAAATCCAATTCTAGTGTTTTGAATCACTCAGCAAGGCTAAATGCTAAAAAACACTCATTTAACATTGCATTATAAATTAAGTTTAAACCTGAGCTAATTGTGTCAGCATTATTAACAACAAAATAATTTAAATTTGAGGAATATTGAGTTTCACATAAGGGAAGCTATTGAATAGAAGCAAATTTGGAACATTGAACACTGCTACAATCACTGATTCGGACAATTTATGCTTGAAGGGCTGCAATCTGATCACCACAGGAAAACAGCATCCTTCTCTTTCCTTTCCATTTATAACTTTTCTAAAGAAATCAACAATATGGCGATAACAGCTCATCCAGTTTAAAAATCTTATTCCTAAACGTTGGATCAATTGCTGGAAAATCATCTATTGACTACATGTGAATCATAGTCACTTGGCTGTCAGAAATGGAAGCAATTTCTTCCATTTGCTTTGCTCACTAGGCTATTCTATATTGTATACCAGACTAAGATTGGAAAGCAAGAAGGAGAAAGTACATGGGCTGTGGAAATTTTTAATCTCACTATCCCAATGCTCCTTCCCCTGTCTGCTAATTCTGAGCATAGCCTTTTACATTTCAGTGCCTGGAACAGTAGAGAGAACAGGCCTTTGTGAAACAGAGCTTAGATTTTGTTTTGTACCTTGGAAACAACTTCACCAAAGCAAAAATGTAAGCCAATTAGTCTCAACCAAGAATTTTGAGTGGCCTCAAAATGCATACAGCCTACAAAACTACTGCAGGACTAGTCTCTTCTCAGCTTTCCACTCGGCTTCCAAGCTGGGTATTTTCATGACTGCCCATAACTGGCAAAAAAGGAGCTGTTTTCAGTATTCAGGTGCTCATCGAAGTCACATGTTTTACATACTACTGAAGTGTTCATAAAGCCATTCAGCCTAGAAGAACTTTTGCCAAAACCAGAAGGTAGTGCTAGGGACAACAGTCTCCTATCTTAGTCTTGGTGGACAACCAACTGAATATGAGCCAGCAGCTAAAAAAGCTAATGCAACCCAAAGTTGCATTAACAGAAGGATACAATCAAGATCAAGTAAGGTACTAATACCACTCTATAAAGCCTTAGCAAGACCACACCCAGAGTACTGCATCCGGTTTTGGTCACCCCACTATAAAAAATGTTGAGGCTATAGAAAAAGTACAGAGAAGAGCAACCAGGATGATCAGGGGACTGGAGATTAAAACATATGAAGAACGGTTACAGGAACTGGGCATGGCTAGTCTAGTGAAGAGAAGGACCGGGGGAGACATGATAGCAGTCTTCCAATATTTGAGGGGCTGTCAAAGGGAGGAAGGGGTCAAGCTATTGTCTAAAGCACCTGAAAGCCAGACAAGGAATAATGGATGGAAACTGAACAAGGAGAGAAGAAACTTTCTGACAGTGAGAACAATCAACCAATGGAACAACTTGTCCTCAGAAGTTGTGTGAGCGCCATCACTTGAGACCTTCAAGAAGAGATTGGACTGCCATTTGTCAGAAATGGTGTAGGGTCTCCTGTTTGGCCAGAGGTTGGACTAAATGACCTACAAGGTCCCTTCCAACTCTGATTATCTGTTATCTAGATTATCGGTCTATGGCAGGGGTGTCAAACTCACATTGTCATGGCAGTGTCACATGACATATCGGGACTTTTCCTCCTTTGCTAACCTGGGAATGGGCGTGTCCAGCGCATGACACATCCGGCCCGCGGGCTGCAAGTTTGACAGCTTGGTCTATGGTGTCCTTTCCCTATGCTATATGGTATCTACACAAAACTACCGTGGAAGGGAATTTGGGATTTTTAAATGAGCATCTTACCATACTACACCAAGGAAGCAATTGATACACTTGAACATTATTTAAAATGTTCAGTTATATTTATGGATGAGAAATAACAAGCTGAAATTACTTCAGACAAGATAGCAGTGCTGTTAGTTTGGAAATTGAAATTTAGCTTGTTGCGGGTAGACGTGTATTCCCTCTGAAAGTTTAAGAACTCCTTGATCCTCAGTTATAAATGGATTTGCAATTTTTCACCTTTGTGTATTTAGGTCTAGCCCACCATCTACAGCCTGACAAGTTTGGAAATGGTTATCGACTGTACTCTCCTGAAGCTACCCTTGGAAAGTATCCAAACATCGTGGCTGGTGTAAAATTTGGCCGTTAAGTTGCCAACCAAAGCAAAGTACAGGGAATGTATGAATCTATACATTCTGCACTACTTGCTAATGACATACCAGTCAATGCTAGACTACAGGGGTTTGCTATCTATAAAATATCATCTTCCTTTTAGACCTTATCCACCTTTTAACACTGGTAGAAGAGGCCCTTTTTAAGAGGCAACCACTACCAGAAACTCATCATTCTGATACATGAGAAGGGACATCTTTGATTCCAACTATATGGAATACACTCCCTCAGAAGGTACCTTTGTTTTTTGAGTTGTTATTGTTTGTTTACTTTTCATGTAGTTGTTCTTGACTAATCACCAGAGCAAAAAGATGGATTAAGGACAAACAAACCTATTCTCTCTAAAATTTCTAGTAGAAAAACTAAAAACAGAGGTATGTGAATTGTTGACTATCCCAACTTGTGACTTATAAATTAAGAAAAATAAATTAAAAATAAGGTAAAATGCATTTAAAATGTACCATTAAAATTAATACTGGAATTACTACAAACAAATATTTAATAGGGGAGAAAAAATCCAGCAAACTTACTTTTACCCAGAACCATTCAACAACACCATGGATAGACCAGTGAGGATAAAGTTCATTCTTTACAAATTGTAAATGCTTCTGTTTGTTGGTCACCCAAGTGACCACAAGACAATTTGGAGCTGCCAATGCTGGGACAGGAATTTCTTTGATTTGCCAGTGAGATAATAAACCATACCTAAATGGGGACAGAAAAAATCACCCAAAGCAAAAAAAAAAAAAGATGTTTGAAATTGTCTGACACTTTTTACAAACATTGTCTAATTTAATAACTTCTAACTAGACTAAATTTGAGTCAAGAGTGACATCCAGTGGTGAAAAGCTTTCCTTTCCTTTAATAGATCCTTTTGGATCTATTAAATGCAGCAGTCTAATTACAATCCATTTTCACTTCTCAAAGCAGATACATATTGGAGGGAAAAAAATTTCTGAAGTAAAATGAGCTTTTAAATATTTTGCTGCATTTCTGAATATTAGATTAATAGTTGGAATAACTAATTTATGTGGTATTTTGGAAGCAGCATCTTGTTCAAATATGAAATTCACTACTGAAGAATGGTTATCGGCCACCAGATTACAAAATTTTAAAGTAGGATTATGAAAATTCTAATAAGAAGCAACTATTAATGGCTGACAATCCTGATGATTATGTACTTCCTACCGTATGAGATTATAAACTTCTGAATGACAGCTACTGTAGATAAGCAACAAGACAATTATATTCATATTCTGCTTGCAGGCTTCCCAAAAGTATACAATTAACTATTATGGATATAGAATGCTGGGGTGTGCGGATGCTTAGGCTGGGCCAACAGGACTCTTTAAAAATAGCAAAAGCACAGTTTTTTTTTTTAAGTGCAACATTTATCAAGTATACTTCAGAAAGAAAATTCTGCGTACATTCAGCTTTAAAAGCAAACCAAACTCTCAGCTTTCTGAGAAAGATGCATGCGATTTGCTTATTTCGCATTTCAGATAAAGCAATTTTTCCTCCTTACAAATCAACCCTTTAAGCAGCAGTTGCCAACCAGTGGTCCACGGCCCACTGGTGGTCCATGAGAAAATTTTGGTGGTCCGCAGAGAAATGTCTCCCCCAGAGCATCCCCCAAAGCAATTAATCCAGGCTGTGCAAGAACACTAGGCTGCACTGCCCACATGGCCCGCAGAAACTTCCCCCCAATCACTCCTTACCTGGCAAACTTGCCTGCTAAATTGCTATTTTTCCTTTTTCCGACCATCACCTGTTCTGCTGTGCCAGGAGATTTAGATTAGCTAGAAAGCAGGAAATTGTTGGATTTCTTGCTTTCTAGCTAATCTTTTGATGAGCCTAATCTTCCTTAGGACTGAAGCAGTGCAGACTGAGCTAGCCGATGGCAGAAACAAGGATCTCTAAGTGAATCTGTGATTCTATGAGCAACTCAATCTGCCTGCCTGCTTTGCCTGATTTTGGGTAAATGTTGCTCTCTTTTTTATAAAACAATTCAATATTTACATACATGGTGGGTTGTGAGTTAATTTTGTGAGTTTGCTTGCTAGCAAATTTTATGTTACAGACTGAGCTAGCCAATGGCAGAAACACAGGTCTCTAAATGAATCTGTGATTCTGTGATCAACTCAATCTGCCTGCCTGCTTTGCCTGGTTTTGGATAAAAGTTGCTTTTTTATATAAAAAATCAATATTTATATCAATATTTATGATATTTACATACAAGCTATGCCCAGCCAGTCACATGACCAAGCCACACCCACAAATTAGGCCATGCCCACAGAACTGGTTAGTAGTCCCTGGGATTTAAAATTATGAGTTTGGTGGTCCCTGAGGTCCAAAAGGTTGGCGACCCCTGCTCTAAACCAGTATATCAAATTCAATTTCATTGAGGGCCACATCAGGATTGTGTTTGATCTTAGAGGACTGGGGTGGACATTGCCAGCATGTCATTCATGTCAGGGGCACCTGTGGTGGCCAAGTGCTCTACCATGAAAACGGGCTCCTTGGCCCTATTTTTGGCCACAACAGCTTCCTGCAGCCTCTGGCAGTAAAAACAGAGCTCAGGGGGCTGCGCATAGCTTCCCTGAGCTCCATTTTCCCTGGCAGAGAGCTGCAGGAGGCTGTCGCGGCCAAAAACGTAGCCCTGGACAGCTGCACGCAGCCCTCCCAAGCCCCATTTTCTCTGGCAGAGCCACTGTGGGCTGGTCCTTTGCTGTTTCCAGGGTGGCTCCGCCAATCAGATCTAATCTGGCCCGCGGGCCCTGAGTTTGTCACCCTTGCTCTAAATTGACTCAGCTAGCTTTGTCTGTCCACACTTGTAGTAGATTGTAAGATTTCTGATAGATAGAAAGCAACAGGTGAAATACCTGTTCAATTAGCACAGGCAACCCCCAGGGCTGCCTGCTCTCACCATTACTCTATCAGAGATGAAAATGGATTTTAGGAGCAGCTCTCCTATTCTACCAATTCTTACTATATTAGAAAACATAGTATCAACAATAGAGACCTTCAAGTTTCTGGGTTCTACAGTATAATCTCCCAGGATTTGAAACGGACACTTAACATTAAAGCCATCATTAAAATGGCACGACAGCTTTCCTACATCAACTCAGAAAGTCCATACTGGCCCAGGAGCTGCTGATACAGTTCTGCAGAGGAATTATGGAATCTGTCACTTCTACTTCTATAACTGTCTGGTTTGGTACAGCAACCAAACAAGACAGGTACAGACTTCAGCAGATAATTACGACTACCGAAAAAAACAATTGCAACCAGCCATTGAAGCTCTATATACTGCATGAGTCAGAAAGAGGGCCGAGAAAATATCTATAGACCCTTACATCCTGGACATAAACTGTTACAACTCCTCCCCTCAGGACACCACTATAAGGCATTGCATGCTAAAACAACCAGACACAAAGACAGTTTTTTTCCCTTGTACCATCACACTGCTCAACACTTAATTACCACAGGACTTCTGCCCAAGGATATTTATCCATGCAGAATGGCTTTTTTACTACCTTCTCTTATTATTGTTATTACTGTTATCTTTTCTACTACCTTCTCTTATTTGTATCATTATTATGTTTACTTTGTTGTTTGTATGTACACTGAGAGCTTATGTACCAGAGACAAATTCCTTGTGTGTGTAATCACACTTGGCCAATAAAGTGTTTGATCTGTTCCATTCTATTCCATTCCATTCCATTTTTCTTTTCTATTCTTTTCTTTTCTATATTATTTATTCTGTTCTAGTCTATTTTATTTACAATCTTACTTCCTCTTCAGTTGTAGTTAAGTGTTCAGTTGTTAAGTGAAACATCCTGTGACAGCAAGTTATGATTTGACTTCCATCTTCTTTATTAACTTTACACCTTGCAAGCTAGTTGCAAAGTACTCAAATGGTGATCACGTGACATTGTGATGGTTGTAAATATGAGGATTGGTTACAAAGCTATTTTTTATACCACCATAGCTGAACAACCGCTAAAGGAGATAGATAGTAAGCAAGGATAATCTGTATTTCTTTAAATGGATGTTTGAATGATATTGTAGAGGCCTAATTTTAATAAACTATATAGCTTGCTCATTTTTCAATTTACTTTTTTTCTACTATTTTTCATATGCAAATTTAAAAGCTATTAAAAGACAGAAGAATTTACTAATTTTTAATTTTCCATTTATGATTATAACTTGCTCTAAGTCAACCAGCCAAAATTATATTACAATACTCTTAAAGTAATACATTTATGAAAACAAGAATAATCACCAATTATAGCAATCTATCAATTAATTTTATAATAGAATAATTTCATTTAATAAACGCTAACCATTATGTCCTCTTACATTTGAGAATGTCAATCACAAAAAGCTTGTTAGGATGCCATTAACCATTTTTTTTATATCAAGCATACACAGCAACTTTTATTCAGATACCCTTTTGCAAATTACTTCCTTTTATTGTACCATTAAAACAGTAATCTGCCTGATGGCATGGTATTAAAAGCTTTTTACTTAATTTAAATAAAAATATACATTTATGGGAATCATACCTGTTGCTTCTTTTAACAGACTTGTTCTCCCATGGTGGGTCTATAACAATTATGTCATACTTCTTTTTATCTGGGAAAAAATGTTTTCAATAATTGCAGGAACAATTATTTGAAATTATAAAAATATTTCCCATATTTTAAGATCCTAAAACTTACATCTTTCAAAGGAATTGAAAGTATATTTCCCTGCATTTTGAAACAATAAAAATCTGCCCTTATAATTTTATATCAACCACACTGCTTTACATGCAAAGCTGTATTTAACAGCTGAATTTCATACAAGCAATTATAACAGTTTCACATGTACCATAAAATATTTACTGGCTATCCAGGCAGATTTGTATGCTATATCAAGCATACATTATAGCTAAGGGAATGGACGATGAACAAGTTTTGTCATTCACTATACACTGAGATAAACATAATATTTTGCTTATATCAAGGCAAAATGCTACTAATCAAATTGTTCAAATTGATATTCAGGTCTTTCAATTCCTCCTTTACTAAAAATATACATAAAACTGCCATGAAAAGTATTTAGGGACTGCTGAACAAGTGAGAAATTTTACTAAGGTAAGTACCAGTACTTACAATTCAAAAGTGGCTGCATACACGAAAAATCTGATAAAAGAAATGCACTTCTAGGGGGAAATAAGTATTTCTGTCCCATTAGGGTTAACATCTTCGCATTGTTTGTATTATTTTCAGTAACACAGGTTAATTGAACTTGTTCTGGGTCAGAGGTTTCCTTGTCTATTACATGTTTTTGCTCTCTTTCATTCATGGAAACAAAACACTTGGCCATCTCACAAAGCTCAGCCAAACTGCAATTAGTGGGTCCGTTGTCAGATGCCTTGACATAACACTGGTCTATAGAATTAGGCTGAAGGAAACCACTTCTGCGTGCCTCCTGGATTAAACATCTAGTCCCATCCAAAATTATGCCACTGATCTGTGTACAGTAATAAAAGATAAAGGGAAATTGCTTGAAACATGCAGATTTGTCAACCACAATTTACTAAGAAGTTCAGTTGCACAATGAAAGCATGGACCAGTTATAAAATGTTTTCGGATTTGTTCATCATAACATTATTTCTTCATGTCTGAATGGAGAATGTTATGAATCCTTCACATGAACATTTTTGCAAACAGAAGCATTACAACAGAGATAGGACAATTATAAATGTTATTAGATTAGCAATCTTCTACTTACCTTGAGGCTTACAGATTCATTATTACCTAATTTACAATTTAAAAATGAAACCAAACTATTTAAAAATATTCACAGTATTTAGGAATGCACAAGATCAAGAAATAAAGTCAATTAACAACTATCACCATCAAAAGGTCCAAGTTACACATACAAGAATATGTTTCCTTATAGAAAAAGCAAAACTGCATGCATATATCACACTTAGCTATGGTTTAGGCACATTGTTGAGTAAATAAGAGATTCACCCATCAAGTTATGTAATAAAATCATGGTTTAAATAAACGGTATAAATAAGATTAGAAAAAAACCTCCAAAATCATGCTAAATTTCTTATGACTTAGGACATTATTTAAGCCTGTTCCTAGTTAATTCATAATACTATGTCATAAAAATGCCTTTTTATAATGCTAAATTAACACCAATCACTTTATGTCTAATTGTGGTTAAAATTACAGCATACGTTCTTAGGCCATTCATGCATAATCTCTAAGGTCGTTTCTTAACTATAGGTTATAGAATATTCTAGAATCATTTAACCACTATTAAACTAAATATTAGTAATCAGAATAGGCCTTATAACACTCCAACAATGACTGAATGAGGCTATCAAGACATTAAAAGTCAATAATGAGGAAATAGCCTTAGTCACAAGTAAATAGACTATGTCTGCACTACCCATTCACAAAAGAAACTACAATTAAAACACCTTTCAAAAAAAATTCAATGTACTTTTAGTTATAGTTTGCACTAAGCAAGAATAGATTCATACAATGAATTAAGTCATGACTGGAATCAGTTTGCTGTAGTGATTAATGTGCTGGTCTAGAAATCAGAAAACTATGAGTTCTAGTCCTGCCTTGGGCATGAAAGTTAGCTGGGTAACTTTGGGTCAGTCACTCTCTCTTAGCCTAACTCACCTCACAGGATTGTTGTTGTGAGCAAAATAGTTGGAAGAAGGAGTGTTAGGTGTATTTGCTGCCTTGAGTTACTTATAAAGGTAGGGTACAATCTGATAAATAAATAACCACATTCTATGTAAACATGAAGTGTGAATGTAACTTTTATTTCAACATACAAAGTTTCTCTTAACACTGAACATTTCTTAAGTTAAGCATATGTCACAAAAACAAATGGCACTGTCCCATTATTAGTCTTCAAACTTACCTTTAAATGATACTCTAAGATATCACTTTCACCATGATTAAGTTCACTGCTTCTTTTCCGTTTCTAAAGTTGAAAATGAGCAGATTAGCAACACTAACATTAAATTCAAATATTACAATTAATACAATTAATTATTCTGTATATGAAGAAAAGATGTATTTTGTGATGAACTTGCATCCCTTAAACTTCACAAAGACAACTAAATGTGTATGTTAGTAAATAGCAGAATTTCATAGATGCACAACTTGTAACCTAGTTGGCGGGACAATGCTTCTCAGCATCTCACAATTCACCAACCATAAGTTGTAGTGGAATATAGATACTTGGGAATTTCCTTTGTGGTATTTATCTCCCATTCTTTCAGTACTTTGGGAAAGAAAGAAAATCCTGCTTTGATTTGCAGGTACTTATGCTACTTAGGTCTTTCTTTTATCCACCAGGCTTCTTTCGCAAGAAGGCCCTGGAGAGTCTTCTTCCAAGGGTGGAATGTAAGAGAAGTCCAGCACCCTGGCTACACAAAAGAAGGCAGCATGAAGACCTTGGCAGTAGGAGCATGCAGTGTGATGGGCAATGTGGGTAGCAGCAATATGTAGGACTACCAAGGTCAGAGATGGATGTATGATAGGCATCAACTAAAGAGGAGTGGTTACAAAGTGGCCAAACAGGAATGGCTTGGATTGGAGCAGATCCTCATCTAAAAAATTGTAGGATTCAGTTAACAACAAAAAGACAGACTACCAAGATTGCTGTTACTAAGCAATGCAGTCACATCACATTTTATGATTGCATCAGTTAGCAGTGGAAATTTCAATCCCAATTACCATTATTAACCAAGAACTATGTATAATGCTGATTATTACAATATCCTTCTCAAATATGCACTACAATCCAGATGAGCCCACACACAATTTTCATAAACAAAGCCAGTGCTGCCTGGAGATAATGTTAATTGGGATACCAAGGGAAGTGGTATTATCTAGCTAGTGTTTCATATCCTGATTCCTTCCAAAAATGCCAGTGTTAAATTTTCATGGAAATTATAGCACTAATACAGTATATCCAGGGAGCACCAGATTAGGTGACCCAGAATGAATGAATGATAGAAATTTCTCTTCATATTTAGGTTTTGGGGAAGAAAAAACTATAGTTTTTTGCAGTACCCTTTTCATTCCAAACTATTGACTATAGGAAAAATATAGGATTTTCAGATGGGAAAGTGTTCCTCACTTTTATTATCAGATGTGTCATTGTATGTGACACAGAGACCACAACAGACAACGAAAGTCAAGCCATGTGGCTTTCTAAGACAGAAAATGCCACATAAGGAAACCAGCTTGTAGGATTACAACTCAAGAATGGCAAATACATATGATAACATGAGTGTAAGACAGATATTACTACTGTTACTCAGTGAACTACTAGCATGGTCTTTTACAGCAGGATCATTTTATATTTATAAATTCATAATAAAACTTTATTAGCACATGCTAAAATTAGATGTACTTGATTTCATTTACCAGGTTTATTAAATGCTGAAAGCAGGTAAAAATATACAGTGCTTATTACCAATAATCTACACAGCACACTTTTGGATTGCAAAAGTAATAATCTATAACTATTTTTATAATAAATCAGTGGTTTCATTTTATGTTATTTACAGCATGAAAATGTATGTAAATATGTAAGAAACGTATCTTTATACTTTACCTTTTTAGCCTTAACTGTAATAACAGGTTTCTTGTCCTTATCATTTTTCTGCTGTTTGGATATACTAGTTTCTAGATTAATCCCACTATGCTTTTCTGTCTGGAAGCTTGGAGGAATATGGGGCTTAAGTACATTAAAAAATTCTTCTCGAAATGAGTATGTCCTCTTTACCATATGATTAGATTTTTCTCCTGAGTTTCTAAATTTGGGAATATTTTTTTTTGTACATGATTTTATGGGAATCAAACTCATACTTGAGGAAGCAGGAATAACAGTATTGTTAAAACTATCCTTAGCTGACTGCTCAAGAGAGTGGCAAAAATAGTATCCAGATTTATTTATGAAACAGAGGTGATCTAGTATCCAGCCAGCTGGAAGATAACATACAATTGACATTGTGTTGCATTAACCATTAGTTTACCCAACTGTCAAATATTTTAATTTAATTCTGTGAAACTAGGTCTTTCTATGAGCACAACATCTCTCTCTGTTCACAAGACTGATCATTTTCAAGCATCTGAAAAGATGCCACTGCTATAAGAAATTAGCAGTTCAATAAAATTAAGACTATTCTTAAAGCCAATGAAAAAATACTTTCCTGTTTTATATATTCAATATTTTGCATATGAAAAAGGAAACATAATATGAGGAGGATACTTGGAGATACTTTATACCGAGATCCTATACTGTGTCATATATCATTCACTGTCCCGTAGCTATCAACGCTAAGTAAAATTTGATTTGAATGTTAGGCTAAGGTTCAAATTAAAAACATAAATTTGCCCATAAGTAGACCATAGTTCTGAACACATCAAAATATTTGTGCAAACAAAAGTTAGTTCTGCTTAAGTATTTGGACACTATTATAACAATATTTTAGATTAATGTAGCCGAGAGAGCTCACTGCTTTAGGTATCTTGTTATAATTCTGGAAGAGCCATTAGCAAGTCATTGTCAGTCAAATCTCCCTCTTGCCCTTCGGTGGTTTCCTACAACTCTCTAGCGAAGTCGTAGGGCAGATTCAATTTCAGCTGGGTTCTTTCCGGCAGTCTTGTCCTAAGTTACGATTTATAAGTGAATCTTGCTGAATTCAATGGAGTTTATCTCTGAGTAAACCATAGCCGTTTCTATCGGGGTGAGCGGACTGCATAGCCCTTGAGCCAAGTCTTCTGCCCCGTAGAGGAGTCGAACAGCCGCGCTCAGAGAGGCCGTGAAGGGCAAATTTCAGCCTGTGGCATGCTAACTGGACCTTTACTCCCAACTGGGAAGAAGAACAAGCTTCGCTCCCAAGAAGCCGCCTTCCGGTCTGTAACTCACAGCTCCAGCGAAGATAACCATAGAGAAGAAACGCGAACTATCCCGCTCGAACAAGTTTATCCTTGTAGACAACTTCCTGTTTGTGACGGAAATGACGTTTATTTCTCTTACTTTTAAAGGACGCGGACGGATGTTGCGATAGGCGGGTAAATTTGAAAGCAGGCGAGAAGTGGGTGGTGCCAGAGTGAAAAAGAGCGGTAAGTGGCAATTGCAGCAATGCCGTCACCGATGAATAGAGGCTACTAGTATCTGACTGAGATCGGCCGCCAACTTGGTCGGCTTGAGAGAAGACATTAACGGTTGGTAATATAACAAGCTCTTCTTGCGGAATCTAATTTTTAACCAAGGCGCAGTTGGCAGCTACTTTAAACTTTGCCGGGCGGCAGCGTTCCTCTGCTTTTTCTCGGAGGAAAATTGATTTATTTTTATTTATTTATTTTAGTTTGTCAAGCCTGTATGAGAACACAAGTATAAGTATGAACATAACATGTAAGTATAAACAGGTATATACATAATAAATGAGTACGAATAAATGGAAACAGTGGGACAGGGACGGTAGGCACGCTGATGCGTTTATGAACGCCCCTTACAGACCTCTTAGGAATGCAGTGAGGTCCACAGTACATAGATTAAGGTTAAAGCTTTGGGGGTTTGAGGATGTAACTTTAAACTTAGACTGTCTACTACTGACCTCACCCCTTTCCCAAGAGGTCTATATGGGCGTGCATAAGCGCACCAATGTGCCTACCGTCCCTGTCCTATTGTTTTATTTTTCTTATATGTATCCATTTCATGTATTCATAACTATGTTTATACTTATACCTGTTATAATCGCTTGACAAATAAGTAAGAGTCTTCAAACTTGACAGCTTTAAGACTTGTGGATTTCAACCCCCCAAATTCCTCCTCCAGTCCGTGTTAGCTCAGGAATTCTGGGAGTTGAAGTCCACAAGTCTTAAACTTGCCAAGTTTGAAGACCCTTGATGTAACAACAGAGTCAGGTAGTGAGTTCCAGGCATTGACCACTCTGTTGCTGAAGTTGTATTTTCTGCAATCGAGTTTGGAGCGGTTTACTTTGAGTTTATATCTATTCTTTGCCCATGTGTTATTGTGGTTAAAGCTGAAGTAGTCATTGACAGGACATTGTAGCAGACAGTTTTGGGTACTAAGCTTAGGTCAGACCATAGGCGACGTAGTTCTAAGTTGTCTAGGCCCAAAATTTCAAGCCAGGTGGCATAATACTATTCCAAGCTATTTAAAGTTAATTAAATTTAATTTAAAAATTACAGCCACCGTCAGTTTTCCTTACATGAGAGAAAAATCTCCAGTTCTTTTCTGCCCCGAAGGAAAAATTAATTTTATATTACATATTCTAATTCGCTCTTACTTGCAAGCATTTGCTTTGCTTACCGCCAAATAAGTAGGTTCAACGTGACATTCCTCCTCGTGCCGTCTGAAGAGTGAATCCAGAAATCCCCTTTTGGGGAGGCTTCGTTCTGTTAAAAGAAGGCAAATTGTACACATCCCGAGATAACATTGCAGGATCCAATCTAGAAGTTCCCTGAAGAGATGGGTTCCATCATGATTCTGGAAGACCAAATCTCTAGTCCCAGTGAGTGACTCAGATTGGATCCTGCAGGTTTTGTTCAATCCAGGAATGTAAAGAGAGAGAAAAATATTCAGCAAATGCACTGTGCTCTTCCCCCACCCCCACTCCCCCACCCACCCCCGCAGTTTTCAAAAAGTCTCCCTTTGGTGGGTGCAGGACTGGGAGTGAGTTTTCTTTATAGCCAAGAGCTTTTCTCTGCTGAATCCTTTCCAGTATATTATCAGCAGAGGCTTTGCCACCCATCCATTTCAATCCTTTCTGCTGACCTGGACAGAACCATACCTGCTTTCCATTCTCCTACAAATTTACCAAAAGGTCGTGGTGTCCCTCTGTGTTACAGTTTTCCCTACAACAATGAGGCGTAGTTCAAGTACCAGTCGAATCAGCTGCCGGCAATCCAGCCAGGCACTGAGGGTGCAGGATACTAATAAAACGGGACTTCATACACCCAAAGGGTAAGGCATTCAGATTCCTTTACTTGAGGTGACATTCATTTACTTGGCTTAAATTCCAAAGGATGCCTGCTTGAAAGTATTAATGTCACTTGTGTTTATCCGTTACTGTTATTTAGGTATGTACAAAAATTTGTTAATTGGATAAATGCTAAAAGCTAGGATTAAAGTAAGATCTGTTCTTTAATTTACACATGCAGTAAATTAGAGTACAAAGTACATAAATATTAAGCAATAGAACTCATTAAAATCAAATATGTAGCAAAAATTAAAGAGCAGATAACTATGGCATATAAAGATGGCATATAAAGATGATTTCAGTTTTGGGTGGTTTTAATAATTTGTACAATTAAATATTTTCTTTTCAAGGCAAGACAGAAGGACAACTTTTGGAAAGCAGAGTGTGGGAAAGCACGTACCAGGGACATCAGAAAGAAAAGCCAGTTTTTTTGGCAGAAGGTAGTTCACATTTCACTTGGTAGGATTAACACTATAATGTTTCACTATCACTTCACCAGTATGTATCAAATCTTCATTCCACTAGAAGAAAGAGCATCAAGGATTTTGATAATTTTAAGTGCAGGAAAGACGTGCCCCAGAAGTGGGAAAAAGGTATTAGGATTTGTGCTAATATTCCTTTGTAAGTTCCTAGAGCTTTCGAGAATCAGCAGGAAAAATATGCTCTGGCCATTTTTGTAGTGGAACCTTAATATATCAGGTAAAGTCTGCTATAGGTCTCAGTTCAATGAAATTTGTATTAGTCTGCCTTATATTCACAATGTAAGGGATGGAAGTCTTTCAAATGACAAGCTTAATTGCCAGTCTTTTAAGTCTCACTTGTTGTTATAAATTGTATTTTCTATATTTAAATAGTTTTGTAGAGATAAAATGAATAATGCCATAATTAACCTGGATGCATATTTTGTGGTTTCAATTCTAGGACTAGTGGCCCTGGGAGCTTACGGAACAGCCAATATGGTGCTTTTGGAACTACAGAGAAAATCAAAGAGCCTAGACCACTTCATGACAAAACATTTATTCAACAATGTATCCGTCAACTTTCTGATGTATGCAGCACTTATTTAATTTAACTAGTTAAATCTCTTTTATCAGAATAAATTGTGCCTGTTGATCAATGACATTTGGAAAAAGCAAGGTAAAAATAGCCTAACGGGCCAAGAAACAATGGGCCATCCAGGTTTTTTAAAAGGTGTGAATTACGTTCACATTTTAAAATTACAAATGCTAGGAACTATTGGACTTTTTATACAAAAATGCATTTTATAGAACTGTCAGCAATGTATTTTAATTATGGCAAAAATATATGCAAATCTTTGTTGATTAAAATACATGATTAATCTACCAAGTTCTCTAATTGAACAATAATTTGGACCATAGAGAGATTTTGATTGCGCTGTAAACTGGCATAAAGTAAAACTTTTAATTTTTTCCCCAGTTTCTTACAACATATGGATATGGTCCTATAGTCACTGTGAAATCACTCCAAACTCCTTCTGTTAAGGACTTTGTGAAAATTTTCAGCTTTATTTATGAACAGTTTTGCCCTTCATATGACCTTTCGGGTTCCAAATTTGAAGAAGAAATCCCAAGAATATTCAAAGACCTTGGGTAAGTACAACCTCCCTATTTAATTAATCTCACTAATTAAAATGAATATAACTAAGAATATTTTGTGGATGATACATTTCTTGATTACATGCTAGAAAATTCTTCCAGAGTTTATCAAGGTTCGTTAATTATATTTCATTTTAATTTTGTAATATTTAGACAATATATTCTTACAAATAGTTAAACTGTATGTGTTACAGGTAGTCCCATTTAGCAATGGTGACAGGCAACTTGGTTGTTACGTAGTTGCTAAATAGAAAATCATATGGCCCCAGTTGTGCTTATGATTTCAGCTTTCTTTTGCTTTACAACATCAAAAGGATACAACCCCAAAGAAGCCAGATGAGCCCAAATGGCGGGGAAGGTTTCTGGTACTTGATTCACAAGGACATCGGGAAAAGGGCAAATTCTTCACTTCCCCGCTCATTGGAATGCTCAGCCTGTTGCTGAAATATTTAACAAGGGAAAATTGATGCTTATATTTACCTCCATTGGAGACATAGGGATTATATCGGGGTTGTCAAACTCATATCACGTGGCAGTGTCACGTGATGTATCGGGATTTTTTCTCCCTTCAATAAAACAGGTGTCGGCGTGGCCAGCAGCTGGGAGTTTAACAGCCCTGGATTACATGAAAGTAAACAGGCACAATGGAAATATACATTGAAAAAAATGCCCTTGTGCCAGCTGTTTGCCTGAACCCCTTAGTGGACAAAAAAAAAACCTGAATGTGTGAAACTGATTAAAGTCAAGCAAGTTACTAAAGTCACAGGCTGAGCTTGTCTAGCACGGACAACATGTACTAACACTGCAAAGATTGTAAATGTGGGCACTGCTCACAAAGTTACTTTTTCATCACTGTTGTAAAAACAATCACTGCCTGAGGCTAAATGAGGTCTACTTGTATTGTTAACAAGAAAATTACATAGATACTCCTAGAATGTCTGCCAGGAATTTAGCTTTGTTTGAAAGGAGACAACTTTATACAGCAAATATAACTAACTATATGTGTCCTCTCTACAAAGGATTCCTGACTTCAGTATAATATTGACAGCTGGGTTCACAAGCTGTTATTTTATACTGGCATGATTGTCTAGCTGTGTCCTATGTATATCTATATGATAGATAGATAGATAGATAGATAGATAGATAGATAGATAGATAGATAGATAGAT